GGGGTATGCGGCAGTAACGTGGATATCATCTGCTGAATAAACTTACAAAGAAGCGCCACGGAGTGTCCTTACTGATCCCCCTAAATTTTGTTATTTCTGCGGGAGCGGTCCTCAATGTCTGCCATTTTCGCCTTTAAAGATGTCAGCTCATCTTCCACTTTGTTGTGGGCATCCGCTAATTCGTTATGAGCAGTGGCGAAATCTCCCATTTTAGTTTCCACATGTGATACCCTCTCACCCAGATTTTCCATCTCTGTATTGATTAAATAATTGATTGACATAAAGCTCATCATGTCCTTATGTAGGGACCCTTGAAGGGTAACTAACATATCTTTCATAACAGTAGCGTTAAGCGGCATAGATTCTGCTGGGTAGTCCTCTAAATTCTCTAGTGGTATTGAGAGAAGAGGAATCATAAGTTTGCTCACCCCTCTGTTGTACCTCTGGAGAGACCCTCTTCTTATTCTTGAGGGGACTGCTTGATGGTGTTCTCAGTGGAGAGCTTGCCAGCTCTGTGTGCACAGCAGGACTGGAGGCACGCAGGGGAGAGCTATGCTTGTCTCCCTCCTCCTGTCCTCGTGGACCAGCCGAGGAGCAGGGACTGGCGCCATTTTGACAGGAGGGGGTACCCGCCGGAGCAAAGAACTCCGACAGCTTGCGGGGCTCCTCCTTTTTTCCCCCATTATCCAGGGATGTGCCCCACACTTCCCTAGTGTCAGCGGTGACGTCGGCGGGGTTTCCCCGCTGTAGTCCGTCGCTTTGGATGGCTTATCTCCTTGGCGGTGCACGGAGCACTGTCAGACTGCGGCCATCTTCATCCACAGCCGGCCATGCCCCCCCCTCCAATGCTTTATTCTTGCTATAATATGGTCTTCGTATGATTTGCAAGTCTGACAATTCTTATGTTATTATACTAACAGAACTTATTCAATAAATCATGTTTTGCTTTAATATTTATTAAGCCTAATCCGTGTATTAGTGAGCGATTGTAGTAATGTTAAACACACTTTGTTTTGAGGCAAAACAAGATTGTACAAATGTCTAAATAGTGGCACGCTTGTATAGAAATTGTCCACGTATAAGTGGCAACCCTTACGGAACAAAAATGACACCAAGTCTCAAACTATCTTGCCACTGCTCCCCATGTAGTCTGGGCAATTGGGGGGCTCTACTTCGCTGTCTCTTCCCTCATAAACCCTAAATTTGTATGTATAGCTCTGTGAAAGGGCCACAGGCTTATACAATTTGACCCCGTATCTGGCACGCTTGATGGGAATAAGGGACTCATCCATGCAGATATTTTACTGGCGCATATACACATCTGCAAAATTTCTCAGTGAGGTGGTTGACTCCTGCAACACATGCCTGGCGAGAGGAGACCTCAGACGGCACACGGGGGACCTCACAACAAGATTACTCACTACTTTCTGCAGCAGCACTTGGTGGGATCACCGACCTCGTCTGCCACCTCCCCACTTAAGATGGTGCTAACGAAGTCCAGCCAGGCCACATCCTCAGCTATCAGCTGCTATGCAGCTTCCCTCTCCAATGGTAGCGACCCTTAGCAAGGAGCATCCTTCTCATTACATTCACCCGACCAGCTACCAGCATATTTTGACTTTCTGGAACCTGCAGTGGAAATTCTGAACTGGCTGGACCTGCTCTTCCAGGCTTCTACATTTGGCCCGCTGCCTCCACGCCCGCAGAGGTTTCGGCGAAGCCACTCTAGAGCTCCGAGACACGAACATCCCAGACGATCCCCATCCATTATGGAGGACTGATCTTGCCACCAGTGGCCATGGACCCCCCGGGGACTGCTGCATGTGAACTTTATTATAGTCCTGGTCTGCGAGAATGGCTCTGACTAGTTCCTGTCTTTTGACAGAGACTGATTCCAAGATGTTTGTTATGGCCTATGCTCTCTTCATTTCATGACGGGGCGGTGACCTACTGGGACAGTGGACTGCTCGAGGTTTGGTCTCTGGTGTATTCCTACCCCATTGTGACCACCGACCCCTAGGGCGCTATTGATCTCAGGTGGTCTGGAAGAATCCCAATTATTTAAGTTCGTTCTTCCGTTTTTATAATGCTGTTTTGTGCTGGTCACATCTGCACAATATTTAATTATAGCCGCTGTATGTTACTGCTCTCATGTGGGGAATAGTGTCTGGCTGTAGGGCCTTTTTGGCCTGGGTCCAGATCCATCTCTTGGATCCTGCCCACTCTACCCTCCTTCCGGTCGCCTCTGGTCACCTTTCAGAGGTTCACTGTTCTTCTCACGAGAGTGCAGTGACCGCTGGTTCCATATCCATATCTTTACCATGTTCCTCGATGCTTTATTGATGCTCCTCCTCTAAAATGTTACTTGTGTTGGACTTATGTTGTACTTGATCAGTAATAGTCTGGTTAGATGGTCCCTAGCATCTCTCTATTATTCCGCATCCTAGTCCTTCTATTACCCCCCCCAATAGGGTATACCCTAGCGGATGCACTGTTGTGAACTCTGTTAGACTATATGTGAGTATCACATGGACTCCTGTCTCATTTTCCATACTTCCCAGCTCTCTTCCTTCTCTTTTGGGTTCTTAGTCTTGCTTTAGGTTTCACCCCTCTTTTCTTTACTATATCTCTAATTTTTCTCATCCTATACTTAGCTCTCTGCTTCCCCCCCTTTTCTCTCTTTTTTTCTCCTTCTTGCCATTTTCCTTTCTCTCATCTATCGGTGCTCCTTACTCTTCACCTCTCTACTCTTCCTGCTTTCTATATTTTTCTTTTTGTTCTCTTTCTTACTTCCTCTCTGCCCTTCCCTCCCGGGGTACTCTCTTTTGTCCTTCTGTGATCTGTCAGGACGCTCACCTTGGTAGCCATGGACATGATACGGATTGCGTCTCTAAACGTTAGGGGTTTGAGTGTTCCCGAAAAGCGCTCAAGGCTCCTTCTAGATTTGAAGAGATGTGGGTCTACTGTGGTGTTTATACAAGACTCATTTTCAAATTGCACGTCCCTAGGCTCTACATTCGTAGTTTTCCAACAGTATATCACAACCCGTTACCCATTTCCAAATTGAAGGGGGCAAGTCTTTTAATTGCCAAAACAGTTCCCTGGTCTCTCTCCGCGGTGCAACAGGACCTGCTTGGTCGCTATCTATTGGTTAAGGGTAGGATTGGTCAATTTGCAGTGACCTTTGCCAATGTTTATTTTACCAACATAGACCACCTATCTTTCTTGAGAGGGCTGCTCCCGCTCCTGCTAGATTTCATTAAGAAGGCTCCCTTATCTTCAGTGGAGACATTAATTTTGCACTGGAACCACACTTGGACGTTTCCAAGGGTTTCTCTCATCTCTTTTTCTCCTGTCTCAAGCGCCTGAAGGCTGAACTACATTTGGTTGATCCGTGGCGTATCCTACTACGAGGGACTACATTTTGGCCTAAATCTATAACAAATTTTGATTTTGGACATTTTTTACTGGACATTTTTATTAGCAAAAAGTCAAAAATATTGTTTTCTCAAAATTGTTTTTTTTTTTTTTTTTTTTTTAATAACACAAAATAAAAATCGCACAGGCGATCAAATACCACTAAAAGAAAGCTCAATTTGTGGAAAAAAAAAAAAAAAAGGAGGTAAACGTCATTTGGGTGGAGCGTTGCATGACCTCGCAATTGTCAAATGGCCTGGTCGGGGGGGGGAGTAAATCCTCAGTAGGGCAAGTGGTTAAAGCGGAGTTCCACTCACTCTGTAACAAAATAAAAGTCAGCAGCTACAAAAATTGTAGCTGCTGACTTTTACAAAAGGCCACTCACCTGTGTTGCCCCTACCGCAGCCCGTTTCACCGGCCGTCCTGTATTCCAGCGGGTAGTCATCTTCAGTGTGGGCACCCGGCTGTGACAGCTTGGGCTTCACAGCCAGGTGCCCACTGCGCATGCACGAGTAGCAGTGCACTTCCAGAATGGCTCCGTCGTCTTCTAGGATCTGTCACATGTCCCACAAGTCTATGGGGATGACAACTTACGTTTCCGATCGCCCGCCATAGGCGATGGCAGCGGATGTAGGAGCGGGTACCTGTCAAATTCGGGTACCCATTCCCCGCTCTCTAAAGGTGCCAATCCTTAATGGGGAGCGGACGGGCCGATCTTTAAAACGGAACTTTCCCTTTTGGGTGGAACTCCACTTTAAGACATCTATTGGTGTATTGCCTGTCTTACCCTCCTAACCAATCAAAATTCAACTAGCTGACCTCACCATTCGTACAACGGGAGAAACCGTACACCGGTTCCCGTGCTGTTCTAGAAGAGCCGCCGCACACTACAGACAGATAGCAAACCTCCTCCCCCATCAGGCAGCACAACGTCAACTGCCCAACCGTCAAATACCCACAACCACGCCCTCGAATCCGCCCCTCGTCTCTTGGCCAACGGGAGCCCTTTTCCCATTCGCTATCCGCGATGCCAGCATTTGACAGAGGATTCCTGGTTGGTTACCTGAAAGTCAGTTCCTCATTGGCCGTACTGTGCGGAGGGCGGGATCAGTAGTAATGTTTGTGTATTGTTGATGTACAGGCTGCGCTATACTTCCGGTATTGGAGGATTCAGTCGTTGTATTAGTAGGTGTCATGTACTGTGCAGTGCGGGCATATGGACAAGTGTGTGTATGGGGGATAAAGCTCTATGGTTTCATAGTAGTCATTTCCTGGCTGTAACAGTCTGTGGGTGCTAGGGTGTGCTGGTATTTGTAGTTCTACAGCACCTGGTGATCCACAATCCGTTGTCTCTTTCTATTGCACAGCTGGGGTTTTATAGGTCTGGTGCATGTAATTATATATAAAATGTACTATGTGCCCCCTGAGGGCCCATTGGGTAGCAGTGATCTGTGTTCTTGTTTCCTGTTCTCAGTCTAAATCTGGTACTCATGGAAGGTTGTTTGCATTGTAAGGACAACTTTGAAATAACTTTCTTCTTTTCTCCAGGCTTATTAAAACCAAGCCAATAAAAATAGGACACCATGGCAACAGGTGATATAAAAGGGGTCCTCCGAAAACTGGAACAGAGGCTGCGAATGATCAATTATCCCAGGGATGTGGACTATTCCAGGTAAGTGTCTGAACCACCTCAATACTGACATGTTTCACTCTCCTTATTACCAGGTCAGTTTTTAGTCCTCTGATAACTCGATTGATAATTAGTCTCATGCAGCACTGGGGTTGATTTACTAAAACTGGAGAGTTTAAAATCTGGTGCAGCTCTGCATAGAAACCAACTTCCATATTAATTTTTTTATTTTTAGCCAAAGCTTAACCACTTCTTGAGGGCTACAGCGTGATCGTCCCGTTCTGGGAGGGCATCATATGATGTCATCCCAAAATGTGCCGACAGCGCACTCACCTGACGCTCTCTGTGATCGCTGTGTCCTTTGGACACAGCTTGATCACAGCTGCCTTTTACCACGTGATCAGCTGTGTCCAATTACAGCTGATCACCATATAAATACGCTTGCCGTTATCAACATTTCTTTCCTCACAGCTGTCATAGCGTGAGGAAAGTACTGCCAATAACCGGCAACTGTGAAAGGAGACATCTATTCTGATAATCAGGGCACTGATTGTCAGTGCTGCCTGTAACAGCGTATACCCAGAGATGGCCGCGGTTCAACCAAATTGTAACACCTCGTAAGAGATAAGGCAAGCTTTCCCAGGAGTTGAAAGAGATTCCAACCTAATAAACCTAACTGAGCGTATGTGACAGAATCAGATAAACACTTTTCAAATCCATTTTTCCCCTATGTCTCATATCTTGGAATATGAGAGACTTACATAAAAACCAGACATATCGTCAGATTGGCTAAGAAAAGACGAACAATTTGATGGGTCACTTGCTTTGTCTCGAATACACAGGAAAGCAGAAAAGTAGATCTCGTGAACCGTTCAGTATAGAATTACATATTTCATCTCTAATCAATCCTCAGACGTGTCTGCATAATAATCTACCCGCGGGTGTAGTGTCACTTGTGCATAGGAAAAGTTATGATGAGCCCAAATGTGAACTACACGAGATTTTGGCTCTAGTTTAGGTCGACACCCAGACCTCCACGCCTACACGGGGTATTGGTCCTTGACGTCAGAGACACCCCCTACTGGGGAACTACAAATTGGGCTGTCAGGCCTAAGAGAGTTGAGTTGAAGACGTCTCCCATTTTAACATCAGTACCACTTGAGGAGACCCGTGCCCTTTCGCTCTGCTAACCCAGGACTTTGGCAAGTGCCTTAACCCTTTCACCTCTCTCTGATATCTCTTTGCTGTGCTGTTGGTCTCTGTATATTTATATATATATCTTAGTTACGTCTTTCTCTGTAAATATTTTTATTGCACCCGTTTGACCTTTTAGTAATAAATCTTTCCTTCTGAAAGTGTTGAACTGTTTCTATAGCGCTTTATTGCAATTTACGAATTCCTGCCTCTAAAAAGAACACTACTTTGTTTAACCCTCTGTATAACCGTGTTATGCAGACGATTACCTCAACCATTATAGTGTTATTGCTGAGATTGCCGAGTTTCCTCTTTCTCTGTACAAAAAGGAGGTGGTGGCAGTGTGAAGGGTTAATTGCGTAATTAACCTGACCCAGTAACAATCGCTCAGGCTGCCGGTACATCGATTGTGGTCCAATTAGCTGGAAAATCGTTGTGCAGGGTGCAACTGGGTGTGGCATTGTTATGCACGTGACATCGCAGTTTTAGATCAGCTAGTCCTTCGGTCACGAGTTTGGTGAGAAGGGCTGGGGTCTGACGCCGCGATCGTGACACTGCCTATTAGTGCCCATCGGTATTGCCTATTAGTGCCTCCTCATCAATGCCCGCCAGTGCAGCCTATCAGTGCTGCCCATCAGTGCAGCCTCGTCAATGTACATCAGTGAAGGAGAAAAATTACCTGTTTGCAAAATGTTATAATAGAAACAAAGACAAACTTTTTTTTTTTTTTTTTCAAAAATTGTCAATCTTTTTTCATTTATAGTTCCAAAAAAACCCCAGTGGTGAATAAATACCACCAAAATAAAGCTCTGTGTGAAAAAAATGCTAAAAACTTCATATGGGTATAGTTTTGCATGACCGCGCAATTGTCATTCAAAGTGCAGCAGCGCTGAAAGCTGAAAATTGGCCTGGGCAGGAAGGGGGTAAAAGTAGGCAAGTGGTTAAAGCAGAATTATATTCCCCCTCCGATCCCACAATGCACTATCCTGGAGCTCTCTGCCTGGTCGCTGACATCTTCAGGCACTTGCACTGCTCACTGTATAGGGGTGGACAGGCAGGTAGCTTAACACCCCGTTCACATCAGTTCGATTTGTATGCCCTGCAACTTGCAAATTTAATGCCAAGTCGCACCCTATTGTCCGCAATTGGTGCGGTCATTCCGGTGCTGTTCCGCACCGATTTCTTTGAGACTACTTTTAGACATACATTTAAAAATGTACTTTTTTTTTGCTCGAAAATTACTTAGGATTCCCAAACAATATATTTTTTTAGCAGAGGCCCTATAGAATAAAGTGATGGGTGTTGCAATTTTTTATGCCACACGGTTTTTCAAATGCAATTTTCTTGGGAAAACATTTTAATTAATTTTATTGCACACAAACACTATCATACCCAATTTTTCAGTAAAATGTAAAAGATGATGTTATGCCGAGTAAATGGATACGTAACGTGTCACGCTTTAAAATTGCGTACGCCTGTGGAATGATGCCAAACTATAGTACTTAAAATTCTCCGTAGGCAAAAGCTTTAAGCGCCTTTACAGGTTACCAGTCTAGAGTTACACAGGAGGTCTGGTGCTAGAATTATTGCTCTCGCTCTGCCGTTCGTTACAGTAGCTCACCATTGTGGTGTTGCATTTCTGTGTAAGCATGGGGGGACAGGGGCACTTTATTTTTTTTTATCTAAAACCTTTTTTTTTTTTTTTTTTTGCTATTACAAGGAATGAACAAAATCCCTTGTGAAAGCCTTGTCTGTGACAGGTCCATATCTGGGGTCTATCTCTCCTCTGGCCTCCAATGCAGCTGATCAGACACAGATCGGTCTGATCGGCTGCTTACCTTATGGGGTCACAGAGAGGGAGGAGAAAAATCAGTATGAATGTAAACACACACATCAGGACACCTACGCATGAAAATACGATACATGCTACATGACAACACGCTGGAATGAGAGGAATAATTCTAGCACCAGAGCTCCTGTGTAACACAAAACTGTTGACCTGTAGGGGTTTTTAAACTGTCGCCTATGGCAAATATAGGATATTGAAGTGTGTTGCCATTTCATGGGCACATGCAAATTGAACTACGTCCTCACAGCAATATGTATACCTTGCCAGTTCAGAAGCTTATACCAGGATGATGCCTGCATTTTTTTTAATTTTTTTTTTTATGCAGGTGATTCTTTTTGTAAAAAAAAAACTGATCCCAGTGGCTAAATAGGCACTGAATTTCTTTTACAAGTGGTGGGAGGGGTCATCCCTATCTGCCACTCTCCACTCCATCTCCAGGCTCTCCCGTCCCACCAGGAGCCCAGCAGTAAAGTTGGCGATTCCATTGGCTTACCGTAGAGCTGTTCTTGGACCAGAACATCCCCGATTATCTCTATGGTATATGAAACCAGAAGCGATGAGTATTTTTTCACTTCCCGTTTTGTCCATTTGTTTACTGTCAAAGGAAAGCTTCAGACTGAACTGATCCGAGTTTGAACCAAAGCTTTCAAGGACGGAGGAGAAATCTGGGACCCCAGATCTCTTCATAAAGAGAACCTGTCACTGCCTATTGCTATGACAAGGGATGTTTACTTATAAATCACAATAACAGTCTATTGGTTGCAGGACATTTGCAGCGCTTCCCCCATTTGCTTGAATGGGTTGCGTTTGGTGGGCTTGCCACCCACCGATCGCGAAGTGCGTGTCAGATAGTATTTGGCGCAGGTGTGAATCATCGCAACTGTAACATGTAAACATCTCCATCCGCTGCCATTATAGCTTAGAGGGGCAGTTGGGGGTTTTCAAAATATGTCTCAACTGCACATTTTTAATGCTTTCTAACTGGTATTTAATCACCACAGGTTTATCATTTGTTGCGCTATAAACGAAAAACTGAAAATTTTGAAAAAAAAAAAAAACCATGTTTTTCTTAGTTTCTGTTATAAAATGTAGCAAAAGTTATTTTTCTTCATAAATTTTGACAGATTTATACTACTACATTTCTTTGGTAAAATAACCCAAATCCGTGCATATTATTTGGTCTGTGTGAAAGTTATCGAGTCTACAAGCTGTGGTACCTATCATTGAAAATTGATCAATCCTGATGTACTGACAGCCTTTTTTCTTGAGGCCCTAACATGCCAGGACAGTACAAACATCCCCCAAATGACACCTTTTTGGAAAGTAGGCAGTCTGAGATATTTAGTAAGAGACATGATGAGTTCTATGAAGTTGTAATTTTTTCCCATAATTCTTTGGAAAATGAAGACATACAGTATTGTTTTTTGCACCAAACATATGGAATTATGGCCAAAAAGTTCAACCTTGATTTTATCAGACCATAACACATTTTCCCACATGCTTTTGGGAGACTTAAGATGTGTTTTTGTAAAATTTAGCTGGGCTTGGATGTTTTTTTTTGTAAGAAAAGGCTTCCGTCTTGCCACTCTACCCCATGGCCCAGACATATGGAGAATACGGGAGACTTGTCACATGCACCACACAGCCAGTACTTGCCAGATATTCCTGCAGCTCCTTTAATGTTGCTGTAGGCCTCTTGGCAGCCTCCCAGACCAGTTTTCTTTCTTTTCTCGTCTTTTCATCAATTTTGAAGGAATTTGATTGTCACTGTTGCGCCATATTTTCTCCACTTGATGAAGACCGTGTTCACTGTGTTCCATGGTATATCTAATCCCTTGGAAATTCTTTTGTACCCTTCTCTTGCCTGATACCTTTTAACAGTGAGATCCCTCTGATGCTTTGGAAGCTCTCTACAGACCATGGCTTTGAAAGAGCTGCTAGAACAGCTGAACTTTATTTGGGGCTAATCAGAGGCACTTTAAATGAGGCAGGTGTGTAC